CAATTCCACAATCCCCTCATTCTCCAGACCCATTCCCCATACCGATCTCCACCATTCTCCATTGGCAACCTTTAATAAAAGGAGATCAAACCTCCTCTTCTACTTCAGCGATGCCGAGGCGCCAAAAACAAAAACCGGTCTATCCGGAGTGGTTTCAAGGCTACGACTCCCCTCTACACATCAACCCAACTCCCCAATCAACCTCCTCTCCCATCTTCGACGTCTCAACCAGCAGCACTCCCTCTTCCTTCTCCTTCAAATGCAGGTTGTGGAGGATTCTAACCCCCCATTACAGAATCACCTTTCTCCCCTCCAACTTTTCACTCTTCGAAGTCGACCCCAATCAATCCCTCATCTACCAGTACAGTTCCCACCACCCTATCGAACCCCTCAGGAACAGGGATTCCACATTCAAATTTTGTCGATCTGGATCCGATGCCCCTAGTTATGAAGCTTACTCTAAACATAATCCAACAGACTGATGGTAGGCTACTGCCTTGCATCCCTCCTCTTAATTACTTTTTCCTTTCTTCGCCTTCAACTACCCCCCATCCTGTACCTTTCGAACAATCATTAACCCAAGAACCTTTTCTACAACAGTGTGCTCCTAAACTCACACCATCAATCTCTCATAACCCCTCTCAAGCTGATGATGTCAATTCAGAGCTTCTACGGATTCCCAGGAGCTGGAAAGGATTGACAGAGGAGCTCCTCTTTTTGCACACACGATTTCAGAAGCTGGTCTAGCATTTTCAGGAGACATTGATCTCCTCACCAACCAACTTAGGATTAATGCCGAAGACTCACAGGTAACTTTCTCCCCTCGAAGAAGTAGAAGTGCTCGAGAGTTAGCCAAGCTCTACTCAGGGATAAACTACGACAGCCCTTGGAACTCAGTTCAGCCTTGGTTCACGTTTCCAGCCCCACTAAGAGGAAAGTCTCTAGGAAATCCTACAGACACCCTAAACACGCTAAACATTCATATAATTTACACTTTGAGGATCCTTTGACAAAGATTGAAGGATCGACCTCAAAAGGGAACCACCAACAGGTTTCATTTCTTTCAGTTTGATTTTTTTTGTTTTTGGGAAATTATCACTAGATATAGTTGTATGATGGTTAATATTGTAATCTCTCAACAAAATCACTTATTTTTCATTTTTTTTATATTTTCATGTATAACTATAGAAATACTTTTTGCATGTATTTGGAGATAGGTTTTCTGTTTTTATAATGTTGTATCTTTTTGTAGTTTGATTATGTTTCTTTTATGCCTTTTGTATTCTTGAAATGTTTGGTATTTCAAACTAAGAATTTCATCGATCTTTTTCTTTTCATATTTGATGCACAAAAAGATGTCTTACAGAGGTAATAACTTGATATTTGCTAATGTTTTCTTTACCTTAATGCTGGGATATTTTTTGAAGACTTAAATTATTTCCAAAGTAACACTTCCTCTCAAAAACTTAGTAATTTGATTTTTTACAAGTTGATTTATATAAAAGTATTTTGATTGGTTTTTTAAGCCTTTAGCATGTTTATTCTGTAGTCTTAGGAGATTTTTGAGGCTGGTGGGTCCAAATACCAGTATGGGGTGAGGATGGATCAGGGTAAGGGGTGGGTGAAATGCGCTTGAAATGTTTGGTGGTATTAACCGCCTAAAACATCACATTGCTGAGGTCATGATGATATCTTGCATAATGACAATGTGCTTGTGCGAGTGAAGTAGCAACTGCAACAATCTATCCAAGCAGCAAAAAGAAGATGCAGAGCTGAAGGGTAACGAAGGATACAAGGAGACTTGGAGAGAGTATTATGCATCTTCTCATGACAAGATGAGGAATATTTTGAGGCCAAACTTGAGTGTGCACGGAGTGTCAATCTAGAAGAGAGTTATGCTAGGCCATGGTTGTTGGAATCTTGAGCAATTTAGGGATTAGAAACAGGACCATGCATGGCTAGGAGATCCCTGTGATAGGGAGCGCCATTCAATACATATTCTAGGGATCTAAGCCTCAAACTTTTGGTGATCTTGAGGCCAACCTTTTAGGGATCTCTCTCCCAACATCAACCTTACTACATTATATACTTTATAAATGTACACTATAAAATTCTAATATGTTGTACAATGTACAACTAGAACATATTATAGTACTATACATTAAATATGCTATACTACCGCGATATGAACTATACTATATATATTGCTAGTTTGCTACAATACAACTGTATATAAGATATACCACTATATGTGAATGTATATGTATATGTATGTGTCTATATATTTATATATGTATATCAATGTTTCAAAAAGCGCTAGGCGGCACTTAGGCGGTCGGGGGTGGGTCCAGGCCGCCCAACGCCTAGGCGAGCGCCCAGAACCTGGGTGGCCGAGTAATGTTTTTTTTGTTTGGGTTTTTCTCTCTCTAAAATGGCCTCTAATGAGCTTTAGGTTCATTTGAAACCCAAAACCCACAATTTTGCACCTTTAGTATTAAAAAAATGACCTAAAAATAGCCTCAACGATCGGCATTTTTGCCCCTGGGCGAGGCGCAGGCCCTGGGCAGCTGCCCAGGCGGCCGCCTAGGCAGGTTTAGGCAGTCGCTTAGGCGGGTTCAAGCGGTCGCCTAGGCGAGCGCCCAAGGATACCTGCCTAATTTGGCCGCCTAGGCCTGGGCGATGCGCTCAGGCCTTTTGGACCGCCTAGGTGGCCGCCCAAGCACTGGGCTGTTCGCTTTTTGAAACACTGATGTATATATAAATGTATTGGTATATGAGATAATGGGAGTCCCTTTTATACACTCAAGGGATGATGCAATAGTATATGCCCATCGACCCAAATTGAATTTGGGCCAATTTAACAGTCACTATTGTCCTTTGTATTTGAATTTTAATATTTTTATGTATATTTAGATTACTTGAAATTTGAAGTGTCCACTCTTTTCATTAAGGTGCCCTATATAGATTGAGAACCAAGTAACCCAAAACACCCTAAACATTCATATAATTTATATTTTGAAAGCTCCTAATGAGATCCTGATACTAAACTTTGGACTGAGATTTGAGGCCAGAAATGACCAAACCTGACAAAGAGCACATAGATAGAAAATGTAGAGCACATTGAAATCTTTGAAATGAGCATAAGCACATGCCAAAGGACCTCCACCTGATATCTCGGTTAAACCGCCAAGAGCCTCAAGCATGAGGTCTATACAATGTGCTGCACGTGGTATCCAAAAGATTCTAGGACAACCTATACGCAACAAATTAGTTGCAGCAACATTTGGAGCGGCAATGTCTATGACAACCTGTACAACATGATCTCCCCAACCTCCATGATTCCCTTCTCTAAAACTTGGAAAATGTAATGGGCATCATGGATATGATTAGAGGCATCAATTGACCTCAAAAAAACAGTCCTTAAAGGACAATTCACAAGCAAATTCATCTGACGTCTTCTCTTCCTATTACTCCAAGCATCGGTCATAATAGAAACCCCATACTGAGCCTATGCATCCTTCTTTTCTATAGCTTCTTTCGTGACACTCACCGCCTTTTTCAAAAGAGACTCTGAAAGCTCATATGGGGTTGGGGGTTTCATCCCAGGTCCAAATTGGCCAATTGCCTCTACCACAGCATAGAAGCTACTTAAGCGAGCGGTATTGAAAGGAATGCTCGCCACATAAAACCATGTAACAAGATAAGAAGCAGCTCTATCTCTCTCTTCCTTCTTCATTCTATTTTCAATGGTGGTTTGCTTCTTTGTTTTCTCTCCTGCAACCTCCGGGTCAAGCCGAGGCAAAAAACTATCCATATGGCCTCTAACTCGAGGCTTCTTACTCTTAGAACCAGAACCAGAAGCAATTACAACTCCCTTTTCCTTTCCCCTGATAATGGATTGTTCTACTTCTACCTCTTGATATCTCTCCCCAATCCCATCCTCATCACTATCATCATCATCAACATAATTGATCCAAACCCCAGACCTAATCTCTACTATGGAGGCAAATCTCTTATCTTTTTTTCATTTTTACCATATTCAAAAAATTGGTTATTTCCTCTTTAACAGCATCAAGAGTCTTTTTACATAGGGCAATATCCCCCCTGATACTGGTAAGATGTTTCTTGAACCGGTTTATGCCCCTTTTTGTATCCTTCTCACAAAAATTGCATCTTTTCCAATTTTTATCATTAGGATCTAGTTTGTATCTGTATTTCCAACCGGGATCACCACTCCTATTAGATCCCGAAGAAGACATCGCAAAATAATGCAATTTATGCAAGCAATAAAAAAAATTATTGATTGCTCAATCTCCAAACTTCCACCTCAAAGATGCTTCTAAAGACTCAAAATCTTCTAAAAAACCCCCCAATAGATTTATAAAACATCAAAAATTAAATCCAATATCAATGGGTGATGTTTTGATCAATTTCTCATAACTTTGAGAAACCCTTCGATCTTAAAGAAATCACCAAAAATGTAGTTTTTTTTTAGGCTTTCTCTCTCTAAAATGGGCTCTAATAAGTTGTAGGTTTCAAATGAACCTAAAACCCCCATTTTTGGCCTTTTAGTATCAAAAAAATAAACAAAAACTGCCCCCACCGAAAGCAATTTCTGCCTCTGGGCTCGGCGTTGGGTGGTTTCTTGGGCCCCGGCCGGTTTCCTGGGCGCCCAGGAACCACCGGTTTTTTAGGGCGCCTAGGCCTGGGTGATGCGCCTAGGCCCCCAGATCCACCTAGGAGGCCGCCCAAGTGCTGGGCAATCCACTTTTTGGAACACTAATATGCATTGAGAAGGGGGGAAAAATCAATTGCTAGTAATCAGTTTGTTAAGCGAAAAGATTCGATTAATAAATGTCCATAACCATTCTTGCAAAGTATGCGAGTTGTGTAGAACCATGTGATATGTCGTATGCTGCAAAGAACTAAGTTCTTTAAGAGCTATAACCCATAAATGTGATATTCTCAGTTAGAGAAAGTTGAGAATACAGATAGAGTACCTTAGAACATTTTTTACAGCAGAACAAATGTCCTTGTGAGCAATTTTTGGGTTTTGACAGCCTCTTTCTCGTCAAGCAGCCCACATGATCTACAAAAAGTTGGATAATTCATAATGCATGCGTTATAATATCAATTTGCAGATAAGCAAAAGTTATTGAATGCAAGACGACTCACATTCACATCCACATTGATAGCAACATAAAACTGTCTTCTCCATGAATTGCTCGAAATCAGAATTGAAAGCACTCCCACCACAAATGTTGCATCTACAAGATGGACAAAACCATTTTCCTTCTGGCAATTCCTGCCACCAGAAATCAATATTCAGATTATTTATGACAATCAACTATCAGAAGCAAAAGAATGCATCTCAGGGGTGGTTTGACAATTACTCGGCAACAAGCAGATGCACATGTGCACCTACATGCAAAAATATAGGCACTCGCGCTCAACACACAATAGTAGTGTAGCGTGTAATAAATATATAGATAGATAGATGGAGAGAGAGAGAGAGAGATCTAATAATATTTTTGTAAATTTCTATGTAAAATAAAAAATTTCAAAATGTCTCAAAATACAGATATTCACCCCATGATGGACTATTGATAGCAAATGCAAAGACTAAGTTCTTACAAAATTGAAACACCATAATTGCAAGACCTAAATACAGTTGGACAAGGCATTTGAAAAGTTAAAATGAAAAAGGGCATTTTGCAAACTTGAGCAAAGATTGAGAGGCATTTTCATCCTCAAATCCAACACATGACCAGCCTCCAAACCATAACTTGCATACAGCATAGATATGTATATGTATAAAGGAAAAATATACTATAGGCCCTGGGCCAATAGCCCCAATACTGCAGACACCTAAGGGCCCAAACACCTAGCTAGGGGGATTTTGACCACCTGAGATTCGCCAAAACATTGTTCTATTCACATTGGAATTAATTAAAAGGGAAATTTATCAAAATACTCATAAGAGATGAATTATTTAACATTTTGCACATTTGCAAAAATTCCAACTCACAGCTGTGGAATTTCTCATGGACAATATGATAAATTTCCCTCAATCAAAAGAATTTTGAGCTCATAAAACCTAAGATCACATCTTCCAACAACTGGTATTGAGACGAAGCATTTTTTAAGCTCCAAATCAATCTTTTTGTTAGACAGATCTTAGAGATGAATAAGGATGATTTGAAAGCTTTTAGGGCCAACAAATCTCCATAACTAGGTGCTTTGGCCCTTGACCCATATTGTGCATGTTGCCACCGACCTCTAGAATCTTTCATATGAATATGCAAGTATGCGTGTAAATGTGTTGATTGATAGGGATCTCACCGTGGTTGACTATACATCACGGTGGACATAGACTCCCAAAATACTAAGACCGTAATCTGGAGCCACGAGAGGAGTTTGCTTTCTTCGAAGTGTTAAACGCCCCCGTCTCAATTAAATTCGAGGTGCAAACAAGTCCCAGCAAGTACACTCCCAGGATACAACAAGATCGGAATGCAAATCCTGAGTCCAAGAGTTGCACACTCATGAGACCCGTACAAAACCACAGTCACAAAAAATATTTTTGTCTTTCCAATTGGTACGGTCCCACAAACATCAATTGGAAACAAACTTATCTCTCTCTACAAAAATCATCATCCAATCGATACAAACGAAACATCGATTAGGATGGCAAACTTCTCTCTCACTACAAAATATCTCATCCAATCTGTATTCTATAATAAAATATTGATTGGGAACATTTTTTCTCTTACTAAAAATTAGTCTTCCAATCGATAAAATACAAACATCAATTGGGTAAATAACACATGGAAAAATTTTGTATAAATATATATAAAGTTCAAAAACTTACCGGATGACAAGAAAGCCACGCATCAAAGAGTGAGAAAACCGTACATTAAACAAAATCCATCATTCACTTCATGATGCCATGAAATAGTCATCCAGGTTATTGAGAGAAAACTGTTCATCGCTTCTGTCAAAAAAATTTAGTGAATAGGCCAGCTAACTTAGAGGGAGAAAAAGAGAGTAAACCTACTCTCCTGTTATTGATGAGAGAGAGAACTCCTGTTATCAACTAGAAGCTCCTTATTGAGAGAGAGTGAGTGTACGTTTTTTATTTTTAGTGAGAGAGAGAGGCAAAATTGTAACACCTCATGAGGAGGTGTCAATAAAACAATTGAAAAAGGGGGTTTAGAAGCCACGTAAGAGGTGGTAAAACCACCTCATGAAGGAAAAGATGAAGCAAAACATGGTGGACTAAAGGTCCATCCTACATAAATAGACTAGCAATAAAAATTTAAAAAACAAAAGTTATTTTGAAACACTTTTCTTTGCAAAACAGTAACAAAATGTTCATGTACCATCATTTTTTTTTATAATTAACTTTTGTATTGATAAAAGAGATAGATACAAAATAGTAAAGGTAAATCCAGGAGTACCTTAAGTACACGGAACTCCTGGTAAAAGGAATAGGTCATCCGACCCTATACAAAATAGGGTTATAAAATAATCCCCTTACACAATATGCAGGAAAAGTAAAAAGAAACTAGAGAGAAAAATGGGGTTATAAAATTATCCCCTTACACAGTATTCGAGAACTGTACAAAGATAGTAGGGAGTGTAGATCACAAAAAATCCCAAGCCAAGATTCTGTAGCCGACCCGAATCCAACTGTGGTATGGTCTAGTGTTCAACGTGGGCCTTGGCTCTGTCCTTGGCCAGCAAGTCCGTGAATAGACCCAAGATACCAAGGGTCTGTGAGATATGCGTCCATAAGACGGGCGTATCCCTGCAAAGATGTTGAATCTCATCATAAATAGACCCAAGATACAAAGGGGGGAGTAGTTGTCCCAGAAGCCCAAGAGATAATGTTTCTAGTGTCTCCCTCCACTAATAGTAACTGTCCCCAAGATCGGTCAAAATTTTTTATGCCTATGAGGAGAGCCATTGATTTAGCGTATTGAGAATCTTGGATGCCAAGATATTAAAGAAGGTAAATAGTACATTGTGAAGGTGATCTCTAAAGATCCCTCCCGCTCCTGCATGTCCTGGGTTTCCCAAGGAGCAACCATCAAAATTCAATTTGATTGCTCCTTGGGGGGAGGTTCCCAGGCCCTTATAACTTTCTTTGTCTTGGGTTTGTGGAGGAGAATATGCTCCCACTACGGTATGAAGAAGACTGTTGGGATACCACAAAAAAAATGATGGTTTGATGCCCAGAAGGTTACTAAGGACGTAACCTTATAGAATAGAGAGAGGGCTAGACCAGCCTTTCCTCGAAAAATTCTGGCATTTCTTCTTTCCATATGGTCAAAAAAAGCGCCCCTGCCAAGGGCAAAAAAAGTAATATTCGCCCCTTCAAAAAGGTCCCATGGCTTCATGGAATTCATCCTTACTTGAACAAGCAACCGCCACTGTCTCCCTCCCATCACTTGGAACAACATCTATGACTTCTATTCCAAAACCCATCTTCTACGACACCATCCAAAGAGCCATCCACCTCCAACCCACACCCACAAAACCTCATTTGCACATGTTGCAGCATCTTCCAAACCTTCCACCACTGCTCCCCCAACCCCCTCCTTGCATTATAGCAGTTCTTCCAGTTCCTCTGTTTTATCCCCCTACCTACCATTCTGTATCTCCACTCCTCCTGAGGAGACTGCGAAACACACATCAAAACTTTTGGCTTCATTAGTAGGAAGTTTCAAACCTGGACGAGATGACCTAAGAAGGATAGAAAGTTGGGCCATAAGACTCTGGAAGGAGCCGAACTTAACCTGTAGACGTCTTTCAAGTGGAGACTTTCTCTTCTCCTTTCCTTCATATGCAGAGGCCCAACTAGCTCTACGGGAAACCATAAGCCCTTCTTTTAAAGGAGCCTCATGTTTACTTCGGGCGTGGTCACCTAAAGAAAGCTCCTTTAGGAAACAAAGAATTTGGCTAACTCTAAACCACATCCCACTTCCTGCGTGGTCACCCAAAACCTTTCGAAGAGTGGCGGCAGCCTGCGGATCTCTAGTTTCAATTCGCTAGATTTCCCTGGAGTCCCTTCCTTTGGGTTCTAACCGACTTCTTCTGGAAGTCTTGGACCCTGCTACGATTCCACAAACAGTATGGCTTGAGGTTGATGAACTCTACTACCCAATCTCCACTTCCTGGTCTTCGGCCTCGCCTCCCTCCGCCAATTTCCTTTATCAGGCCGACTCTGCTCCTTCACCGGAACCTCAGCTCAGTCCTAGACAGTGGTGACCAGAAAAAAGCAACACCGAAAGAGGCCTCGTTGGCGTCCCCCCAACCCGGCCCAGTTTAAGGCGAGCCACCTGGGTCAACAGACTCAAAAGATGCTCTGACGTCCTCGCGCACTGCTCCCTGACCTGTACAAGTGGAGGGAGCCAGGCAGCGTTCAGTATGAGCCACCTTCGGACCCGGTGCCCGTCGTGGACCCAATGCGCGACCTGAATCGCGTTGAAGATGCCTTGATAGTATCCCCCCCAGAGGCCACCCTCAACTTGTTCCACCAACCCCGAAAAGAAATTTTTGAGGACTCCTCACCCCCCCCCCCCTCTCCCCTGGCCTTGTAGATCAACCCAGCCCATCTTTCTCAAAATCCCCATCTTCTCTCTCTCCGAGCCCAACTTTTCAACCCGACCTGACTTTCTCAATAACCCCTTCATCCCCTTGCTTTGCCAACGCCTCTCGTTTAGTCCATCACCCATCATTAACCCCAACCACGTGTCCACTCGAGCCACCTAACCCTAGCCAACTGGCAGCAGAAAAGGCCTCACCTTTTCAGCTTCTGCAGCAGCCGCCCTCATCCCCACATCTATCCCTGTCCGATGCCCTTTTGCCGCCTTCACCGACGCCTTGTTTGCTACCTTTGCGCCACGCGTCCCAGTCGGAGTCAGCGTGCCAAGAAGCCCTACTGACACCTCTCCCTCACAGCCCCACTGTGCGTCACAACCCCTGCCACCCACCCCACTATCGTTCCCGCCCTTGACCATCGCTACCACTGCCAGCCCCTGTGGACAGATACCATCATACCACAAACCACAGGCGGTTTTACCCCTTGTTTGCCTTACCCCCCTACACGGTCCATTGTTGCTCCTTCTCCTTACCATTTCTCCCTCACCTTCTGCCCCCTTAACTTAGAAGATTTCTTTTACCCAGGCAAGAAGATCCATCCAAACCAAAAGATGAACAGAGATTTGGTTCCCTTGGGCATTGTTGTCGCCCACTCGTTGGATCCCTCCCATCCTGACCCAGCTTCTATCTCAAACTTGC